TTTTTTTTTTTTTTTGAACAATGCTCCTGGCCACTCAGAACCCATGAGTTCAACACCAAAGGCATCAACGTGGTCTCCTTGCCCCCAGACATAGCATCTCTAATTCAACCTCAAGATCAGGGAGTCATAAAGACCTGTAAGGCTCATACATGTGGTTCTGTGTGGAAAGGATTGTCAATGCTAGGGAAGAGAACCCTGATAAAGAAAAAATTATTAAAGTCTGGAAGGATTGCACCATTAAAAATGCCATCATTGTTATAGAAAAAAATGTAAAAGTCACAAAGTCTGAAACAACAAATTCCTGCTAGAGAAAACCATGTCTGGATACTGCCCATAACTTCACAGGATTTATAGAGACAATCAAGAAAATCACAAAGAGAATGTGGATATGGCAAAAGATGGTGGAAGGCAAAGCACTTCGAGATATGAATCTTGGAGAAGTTCAAGAGATAATAGGCACCATACTAGAGGAAATCACAGAAGTCAACTTGATGGAGATGAGCAGTGCCAGAAAACAAATTGACAGTAGACAATCCATCAGAAGGGTTCTGATTATTCAAGACTGCTTTTGACTTCTTTTATGACATGACCCTTCTATGATATGGGCATTGAAACTAAAGCAAACAGTAGAAGGATTGGTACTATATAGGAACTCTTTCAGAGAAATAAGACAAAAAAGAATTACAATGTATTTCATAAAGTTACACCAAGTATGCCTGCCTCTCCTTCTTACCTCCCCTTCCACTTTCTCACCTCTTCCACCTCTGCTACACTTGAGCCAGCAAGACCAACCCTGCCTCTCCCTTCTCCTCTTCAGCCTACTCAACATGATGATGAAGAGGATGAAAACCTTTATGATAGTCCATTCACACTTAATAGTAAATATATTTTCTCTTCCTTATTATTTTCTTAGTAACATTTTCTTTTCTCTAGCTTACCTAATTTTAAGAAAACAGTGAGAACACATGGACACAGGGAGGGGAGCACTACACACTGGGGTCTGTTGGGGGGAAATAGGGGAGGGACAGCAGGGGGTGGGGAGTTGGGGAGAGATAGCATGGGGAGAAATGCCAGATATAGCTGAAGGGGAGGAAGGCAGCAAATCACACTGTCATGTTTGTACCTATGCAACAATCTTGCATGTTCTTCACATGTACCCCCAAACCTAAAATGCAATAAAAAAACTGTATGTAATAAATATAATATACAAATTACATATTAATCAGCTATCTATGTTATTAGTAAGACTTTCAGTCAAGAGCAGTCTGTTAATAAGTTTTGGGGGAGTCAAAGGCGATACATGAATTTTTTTACTATGCAGGGAGTCAGTGCCACAAATCCCATGTTGTTTAAATGGTCAACTGTAACTGAATTTGGCCAATGACCTTGGAAGCAAGAACTTCCAAGGTCATCTGAAGACCTTGAGCCTCCCAGTGAGAACTCAACCCACTCAACACATTTATTTTAGCCTTTTGATACCCCGAGCTGAGAGCAATATCATGCCATACCTGTTTTAAAATGATACGTTGTGGTAATTTTTTACACAGAAATAGATAACTAATATAGAAATAGTATAAAAATTGAGAATCATGACAATAGACAAAGGAGATTGGTTCCAGCATGTAGTGAATAAGTGTTTCTGCTTGCTCCCCATTCATTTCTCCTTTTTTTAAATGGTTATCCTTGGACATCTGCCTTTCCTCCTCTGTTAGTCTGATTGGTATGGGGTTGTCCCCCCAAGCCCCGCCTTCATCTCCACAAGTGGGCATATGACCCAGGTTCAGCAAAAAAGCCTCCATTTTGAAGTTTTCTTTGGAACTACTGGGAAAGAGAAGATCATTCAAAGGATGAAAGCCCATCCTGGAATAAATCTAGCATGGGAAAGTAGAGACTTAAGATATGGAGAGTGTCCTAATCCTGATGATATGGTTTGCCCCAATATCCAATCATACCAAAAAGTAGAATCCCATTACTATTCAGTTATGTAAACCAAAACATTTTCCTTTTTGCTTAAGTCAATTCTGAGATATCACTTGCAAGCCAAAGAAGTCTGGAAGAAAGAATAGCATATAACATTGTAGCTCGAAAAAAGTAAACCCTACATTTTCTAGTGTACAAGTATCTGAAAGAACAATATAAACCACCTTTCAATATTAAAGATAAACACTATGACTTCTGTTATATGGAAGACTATAATATTTAAACATCACTTCCTCAGGGAAGCCTTAGCTGATGCTTTCATTGGCTCAGGTATGCCTTTTATAGTCTCTCTTGGCACTTACACTTTCCCCTCCAGAGCACAATGCATTTATAATCAAATATTTATTTATGTAATTGCCTATTTGATGTCTTTCTTTCTTAGGCAGTCCCATGGGGACAAGCACTGTGGCTTAGCACTGTATCCCTGGGGCTGCCACAAAATAGGTGTCCAATTGTATTGCTGGTTGAATGAATGATTCCAAGTACCCTAGCATGACTAAAGTTCATAAAGGAATAATACTTTTGGCCTATTTGAAAGAATTCATGTATCATGTATGTGCTTGAAGTATAAATCCAGTTGCTTTTACTATAAGTAAATTTGATTTTATCACCATTCTTAAGATAATCTAACACCAATTAGCTTCAAATTTCCTTCCATAAATTCAAGCGAAAGTAAGAGCTAACACGTGTGAATCAGTTCACAAATTAGAACATGCTTTTCATATACATTAGCTTTCTTAATCCCTGCAAGAATCCTGGGACTGAAGAACCAAGGCTCAAGTAGGTGCATTGTCCAGGGTCCCACACACAGGATGAGGTGGCACCAGGACTAGACTAAATCTAGTGCATTTCTCCTGAAGGTAATGAGCATCCAAGTCCATACTGACAAATTCTTCCTCTTTCTTAACCAAGGCATTAGTCATTTTGACATTATTTTAAGCTCTATGTATGTATAATAAATCATGTGACAAAAAGCTGAATATGAAGAATACCCTGGAATTCAGTTATTCTAAAGGATAACATTAAATTTTATATTTTAGCCAGATGAGTAAAGCACTCAAGTGTGAGTATGTGTGTTGGGGGGTACAAGGGTATATTGCCTTAAAGTGGGAGAAAAAGTCTTTTTACTTGCTGGAACCACTCAGAATTTCCCACTTACATCTAGTCTAGCCCTAATAAACAATTTGATAAGTTTGATTTTGTTTTGCTTTTATAAAAACTATTATGCTTATCTGCTATAGTATGACAAAAGTAAGTTACTCTTTAGAAAGGAATTACTTTTGGGTAACAAGTTATTGTTTCATGAAAGATTCATGATTAAAAAAATCTTTATGGAAGTGAGGCCTGTTTTCTTCCTTTTATAATTGTCATAATCCACCAGAAATAATATATAATTCTGTGTAACTCTATGGCTGTCTCACAGATGGATGGTATAATATGCCTCTGTTTCTTCAGCCCTAACACTGATCCCCTACTTCTGTTTCTCCACTCATTCAAAGTCCCTGTAATTGTCACTTGGTAATGTATACAAGCATGCATGGACAGAGAGGTAACAGGGCATGCTCAAGTTTTCCTGCCAGTGATGTGCATTGCCTTATGTCATAAACAGTAAATCCTTTATGCTGAAAGCCTGTTCATTTTCACACCATTCGCTTGTCTGCTAACAGTTGTCCAGATTTTTTAATTCGACCTCTTACACTAATCCTGCAACTGCTGGTCCCAGACAGGTGCAGGGATCAGACTGGCTCAGTTAAGTAAAACATCTGGCCTGAAAATGATAATAGGCTCATTTTACTCCCTCCAGCTATAGGAAGAATGTGGAGTTTTCAAATGTTAAAACACACAATTAGGCTTTAATATTCACTTAAACATACAGATCCCAAGACCCACCACCACATGCATACATGTGCACATTCACACACACACATACTAACATACACACATGATAAGTAACTTTTCACTATTCCTTTTGTAAAACAAGACCTCTAAAGAGCAAGAGCCTAGGAAACATAAGGATCCAATTCTGGCAATCGCCTTGTTTCTGGGTTTCCACAGGTATTGGTGGTGGAGCTCTCAGGCCTAAAGGGAACTTTTTGCAGGAAGCACATCACCAGCTTCAATGACATTCTCAGGCTTTATGACTTTATGAGTTTAAAGCAAATTATACACAATTCAAGATGAGAAAGATGATACCTGGGGATGGGATTACTTGGTGGAAGGCCTTTAGCCTCATCTGTCCCTTTTAGAATCTAGTCATAGACAGGGATTTAATATGGTAAACTATCGACATTTATGAGTCCTCCCAGCTCTAAATATGTGGTGATTTTATGATACCCACATATGTGTGGTGGCAGACATGCTGTCCAGTTCTCAAAAGGAAAATATAAGTATTACAAGGATTCTTGATTTTCAACAAAGCTGAGATACTCCCCAGAAAACCCACTATCAGTTGGCATCCCCTAGTATACTTTTAGGAGTTGAAGACAATTTCTGCATTCATGGTCAGAGCCACTCATCAGAATTTTTCCCTCTGTTATTGCCTAGTGAAGAATATTGCTTGTATAAACCCAGGTCAGCTAAGTTTAATGAGGCTCAACTATCAGAGAGATGTTGGATGAGGAACTAAAACAAAAGCCTTGACCAGCAGTAAAAGCTGAAAAAGTTAATTTGCTTAGGGCTGGTGATATTGTTTGACTGTGTCCCCACCCAAATCTCAAATTTCATCTTGCATTGTAGTTCATGTGTCATGGGAGGGACCTGGAGGGAAGTAATTGAATCATGGAGCTAATTAACCTTATGCTGTTCTTAATGATACTGAATGAGTTCTGATGGCTTTATGAGAGGCTTTCCCCTTCTTTGCTCTCATTCTTCTCCTTTCTGCTGCCATGTAAAGAAGGATGTGTTTGCTTCCCTTTCCACGATGATTGTAAGTTTCCTAAGGCCTCCCTAGCCCTGTGGAACTGTGAGTCAATTGCACCTCTTTCCTTCATAAATTACCCAGTCTCAGGTATGTCTTTATTAGCAGCATGAGAATGGACTAACACAGCTGGCCTTCCTGCCGCCAAGAACTGGTACATAATGGTGAGGCCTAGTGCAAAATTAAAATGCAAGAACTCTTGCTCAAAAGTTATTAAGGATTTCAAAGTAGCAATAGCAGAACACGAAACCAACCATGAGGCTATTCTAAACACAGGGTCCTGTCAGACTGCACAGGTCACATGACTATGAAAACAGCCTTGTGCTACCTACAATCTCACAGCACAGCATAGCTGTGAGATTGTATGCACTTTGAGGCAATGAGAGTGACTTGTTCATCCTTGGAGCCTCAATGTTACTAAGCACAGTGCTTGCCCCATTCTCATTCTTTGTAAATAAATGGTGGATTAGATATTAATAAGGAGTTTGGATTTTATTTGTTAAGTAGTTGGACAGTGATTCTGGAGGGCATATAGAAACTTTGTAATAGTCAATGGCAGTGAATCTCAGAGTGTGGCCCTTGAACCAGTAACCCTGTCATCACCTAAGAATTTGATAGAAATATAAATTAACTGGTCTTACTCAGACCTACAGAATCAGAAATTCTGCAGATAAGACCCAAAAATCTGTTTTGACAAATCCTTGAGGTGATTCTGATCATACCAGAGTTTGAGAACCAAGTGATCAAGTACTAGATAAAGGGCCCCTTTAATAGTTTGGTGGTTGGAGGACTGGGAGAGAGAGAAAAGATGCAGAAAGTACCCAATGAATATGTAAAATTATTTGTTAATAAAAAATAAAATATTGAAAAAATTTTAAAAAGACATAATTGGCAGATGTAATAATGAATTATTTGTGAGAAAAAGAGAGTCTAGGATAATTCTCACATTTTTGGCTGCAGTGACTATTTCATTATGCCACTTTTATCTCAGTGGTAACTCACTGAGATAAAAGGAGGGGGGTCATATCTCAGGAAATAAGAAGGACTCAGTTTTAGTATAAATAAAAACATAAACAAGATCTCTAACTCTCCATTTACACCTTTTTCTTTCTTTCAGCTGTTTAGAATCTTTTAATGATAAATTCTTAAAATATTGTGAAAGTGTTTATATTTTGCCTGGTCAGTTAGATGTAACAAGATTGGTGCTACCCCAACCTATGCATATACCTTCTTTACATTTGAAATACTTAATCCATCAACCACAAAGCAAAATTAAAAACCTAGAGTGATAGGTAGTGGGAAAGGGTGATTGGAATAAACTGTAACTGCTAGAGGGCTAAAAAGAGAAAACGCGAGATTGGGCTGAGGTATGAGTGAAAAGGAACTCTCTTGGCTATTCCTATTATATTACTTACATATTACATACCTTATATAATATTCATAACATAAATAATAAAAGTAAAATAACAGAAAATATTTGCTAAATGTGTATCCAACATACAATTTGCATCTATAATATATAAAGAACATTCTACATAAAATAAGATAACCCAATTCAAAAAGTAAGTGAAAAATACTTCATTAAAGAAGAGATACAGATAACATATAAAAACATGAAAAGATGTCCATCATCATCAGTTAACAAGAAAATGTAATTAAAATGCAGATATTACTACATACCTATCAAAATGCTGATGCAGAACAACTGTAACTCTTATAATTGCTGGTGGGAATGCAAAATTGTACAACTGTTTTGGAAAATTTGTAAGTTTTTATAAACACACACTGATCATACAACCTATAAATCTCACTCCTAGGTCTTAGCCAAGAAAAATGGAAACAATGTACTTGCAAAGACCTGTTTGTGACTATTTGTAACATCTTCTTCATCATTACCCAAAGCTGCAAACAATGCAATGCCCATCAACTGCTGAATGGATGAACAAATTGTGGTAAACCCATACAATAAAATACAACTCAGCAATATACAGGAAAAACCCTACTGATATATATAGCAACAAGGATGACTAACAAAAGCCTCTTGCACTAACAAAAGTCTGCTCTCCTTAGCCAAAAGACAAGGAAAGGAGGAGCCTAGCAAGACAGAAAGCTTTTAGACAATATTCTACTCTAGCCAAATACCACATTAAGACCTTGGTTCCATCTCCATCCATGCTAGCAAAGGCTGAATAAAGAGCCTAGACTTCCATCCCAAGCAGATTATAAAGAGATGCCCAACACACTGCTAGGGTGGTGGCAGAGGAGGCCACCCTAAGACTAAAAGTGTCACCCCCACCATACTGTAATGACACCCTGGCCTATGCTGTTAATAGCTCCAGCCCCACCAAGCCGTAATGAGGTATTCCTCCTTTTCCCTGCAGGAATGTCATCAGAGATGACCTGGTGGAGAGTTGGGACTTCACCATTATCCAGTGATTAAGCCACTGTCCACATGAAATCAGTCAAGACCATAGGGAGAGCCAGAACTCCTACGCCCACGCAGCAGCAATGAGGAGACTCCATTAGAGGCTAAGAAGCCTGAAATTAACAAGGTTGTGAGACTCTATTCCTCTGGCAGAACAGTGTCAGAGAAACCCAATTAAAGTAGAAATCTACACTCATAATACAATACAAAAATGTCCAGGTTTCAATTTGAAAAATCACTCTTCATACCAAGAACCAGAAATATATATCAATGAAATGATAAAAGACAATAAATAGATGCCAACACCAAGATGGCACACGTTAGAGTTATCTGGCAAAGATATTACAGAATCCATGATAAAAATGCTTCAACAAGCAATTATGAACATGCTTGCAACAAAAAATAGAAAGCCTTAGAAAAATAGAAGACATAAAAAAGAATACAATGGAAATTTTAGAACATAAAAATACAATAATTGAAATTAAAAAGCTCAGTAGTTAAACTCAGCAACAATAAAAAAGGTGGGAATATAGTAGATAATCAGTGATCCAAAATTTAAAACAATGGAAATTTCCTAATCTGAGCAATGAAATAGACTGAAATAAAAAGATGAATAGAGCCTGAAAGACATTTAGGACTAAAGCAAAAGATCTAATGTTTAAGTCATCAGAATACTAAAATAGGAGAAGAAAGAGGGTGAGGCTGAAAAAGTATTTAAAGAAATAATGGCTGAAACTTCCAAAATTTGCCAAGTGACATAAACCTACAGGTTCAAGAAGCAGAGTAAGCCTCAAATAGGAAAAATTCAAAAAATACATACCAGGACATATCACAGGTAAACTTTGAAAAAGAAATACAAATTAAAAATTTTAAATTTGAAGTAGACCTAAAAAAAAAAAAAATCTTACATCTA